CCATGGCAGCCATGGCAGCCTGGATTGTCCTTTGCATGCTGACAAGGGAGACTGTGCATCAGCCACCCCCGTCCTCGGTCGGGACCCTTTCTGTCTAGCAGGTGCAGCAGCTCTGAGAGTCTCACAGCTTTTCAGCCGGTGTTGCACCCATCCGTTACCTGGTTTGGATTCAGTAGAGCTTGAATGACCTCTTGATTTTTATAAGCATTTTAGCCACCTATTTGGGCATCCCACACTTGAGCACCCCTCAGACAAGGTGAAATATTCTTCGGATAGGGTTAGGGACACACGGTATTCCTAAAATTTTAAAGGGATAGAGGTTCTTAACAATGACCAGTGTATTGCCTGATTTTCCTGTCTGTGCCCTAAGGAAAATTCTATTTGTCATGTAGCTGATGATTTTTAAAAGATTGCTAGGTAAATGTGTTAGTAATCTTTAGACACTAAGGATAGTAGATTTCAATTTAATTCTCATGAGATGTGCTTAGAATGAGTTTTTCATTTAAACACCCTGCAATTCTGACATGCCAGGGTAATAATTTAGCAAATAGTCTATTACACAATTACAAAAGAAAAAAGTCAAAATCAAGTTCCCCCTGTAATGTATATAATTGAGACCTAAGACTTTTCCAACATTTAAACCCGTTGAATCCATCAGATAAGTGTGGATCTCATTTGTTTAGGTTTGGGTAGGTCTGGCCAGTGAGAACAAGGAACCACCCTATGTGAAGGTCATTTCCGTTCTAAACTGATCCTTGAATTCAGATGATGTCTTACTGATGTGTTAGGAGAACTGTCTTTCATGTGGAGAGAAAGGACTGGCCCAGAGGGAAGGACTGAGCTCACTGGCTTGTATTCTAGCCAAGGATAGGCTATTGCTTGTCTCTTCATGGCCTGATAATGCTCAGTGTGGTGCCAATTTTTTTTTTTTTTTTTTTTTTTTTTTGGGCAGAGTCTTGCTCTGTCACCCAGGCTGGAGCGCAGTGGTGCGATCTCGGCTCACCACAACCTCCACCTCCCAAGTGCAAGCGAGTCTCCCACTCAGCCACCCGAGTAGCTGGGATCACAGGCATGTGCCACCATGCCTGGCTAAGTTTTGGATTTTAGTCCAGATGGGGTCTCACCATGCTGGCTAGGCTGGTCTTGAACTTCTGACCTCAAGTAATCTGCCCACCTCAGCCTCCTGAAGTGCCGAGATTACAGGCATGAGCCACTGCCCCCGGCCATCTTTACCTTTTCAATTCTTTCATGACTGCCTCTCCTTTATGTCCCTGAATAATACAATTATACATGAGTGATTTCCAAACCTTAACCTTCTCCTATCTGTGTATCATTGAAGTACTGTGTGAAGAGAAATGAAGCTGCTGACCTCTAAGAAATTGGAATATATCAAATAAAGATCAAACAGCTGGTTATAATGTCAAAGTTAAAATAAAATGCCATTATAGAATCTATGGCTCTAAAAACATGATTTAGATTAATTTTTAGTCATCTGAAAATTCTTATTTGATACACAAATTCTAAGAAAATAATTGTATATGTATTCTCAAGATGGTTTCCTCTGTTACTGTTTTTCTACACTGAAGGCAACAGAGGCATTCCTAAATGGAGTGGAGATTCCAGGAGTCATTGCAGAATCTCTGTCCTGGAAACCATTCAGGTGCACACTGCGTGCGTTCGTCCCCCGATATTTCCAGTAAATGGCTTTCCACCCACCATTTGGATACCTTCAGTGCCAAAAAACACTCATTATTTTATGAAACCAACTCAGCATGAGTGGGTTACTCCAATTTTTGGAAAAATGTCTCTTATACGTCTCAAGCTAAAAATGCCTTTACGTTTCACCTACTGCTTTGCTACTGTGTAAGGTAGATTTAACCCCTATTCAGATATATTGCAGTAAAATACAGGCACACAGACCTAGATTCCGTCTCAGCTCCACTACTCATTATTTATTATATTCTTTTGAAGGATCATTGATTAGTGTACTAAACGCTTTAAATGTGCGGTCATTAAATTCTCGTGAAAGTCTAAAAAAGCAGGTATTACTTTTGCTTTCTCTTACTATGCAGAAACTGAGGCTTGATAATAATATTTGCAGTGGTCATGATGATGACAGGAACGTTGCCATGTACCAGCTGTGTGCCAGGCACTGTGCCTAGCCCTTTTATACACATGATCAGAATTTAGGTAACTTGCCTAAATTATTATCCAGGAAGCCAGATATTCACCCGAGGTCAGGAAAGACTCGGGATTTAACTCCCTCAAGCTTCATTTGTTTGCCTGTTAAGTGGGGATACTATTGTTCTCACAAAGGCTTCTGAGATTCACAAAATGGCTTATGAAAGTATCGGGTGTACTCGCCTGAAAACCACTTCCACGTGGCATTTATTCATTTCCTTAGTTTTTTTTTTGAAAGACTCTTTCCTTCCTCTTTCTCCAGGTTTCTGTTCTCTAGGCTAAATATTCCCAGTTCCTTTAGTTTTCATTTGTTCGTTCAAAACATACTTATGAGCTCTCCTCCCTGCTAAAATTCACATTCTGGAGGGGAAACAGACAGTAAGCAATAAACATGGCAACTGAGCAAAGCCTCTGCTCTGTCACGAAATACTGAGTGTCACGGCGGTGGAAATGAGGAGTCTGGGAGTGAGTGGTGGTTTATTTACTGTGGCTGGGTGACACATTACCCCAAAACTTAGTGGCTAAAAGCCGCAGTGATCATGTATCATCTCTTATGGTTTCTGGGGGTCTAAAATTCAGATAAGACTTAGTGGGTGTGATTTATCTCTGCTCCATGATGTCTGGGACCTCAAGCAGAAGACTTGAAGGATGGCAGCTAGAATCATCTAAAGGCTCATTTCTTCGTATGTCTAGCAGATCCTGGCTATCTCCTGGGATCCTCAGCTCTCTTCCACATGACCCTCTCCGTGTGACCCGGGCTTCCAGCATGGAAGCTGCATTCCCAGAGTGAGTGTCCCAAGAGAGACAGCCAGGTAGAGGCCATTATTGCCTTTTGTATCCTAAGCTCAGAAATTTTACGGCATCACCTCCGTCACATTCTGTTGGCCAGGGCAGTTTCAAAATTTTGCTTGGGTTCAAGAAGGAACTTAGGGCCCGACCTCTCAAGGGAAGAGTATCAATGTCAGGTTGTAAGATGTCCATGTGGGAGACACATTGATGCCACCATCTTTGGAAAGTACTGTCCGCCATGAGGCAAGGTAGGTTCGTTGATAAGGTAACATTTGAGCAAAGGTTTTTTTTTTTGTTTCTGTTTTTGTTTTTTTGAGACAGTCTTGCTCTGTTGCCCAGGCTGGAGTGCAGTGGTGTGATTTTGGCTCACTGCAACCTCTGCCTTCCAGGTTCAAGCGATTCTCCTGCCTCAGCCTCCCAAGTAGCTAGGACTACAGGCATGTACTACCACGCCTCGCTAATTTTTCTGTTTTTAGTAGAGTTTCACTGTATTGGCCAGGCTGTCACCATAGCGGCCAGGCTGGTCTTGAACTCCTGACCCTGTGATCTGCTTGCATCGGCCTCCCAAAGTGCTGGGATTACAGGTGTGAACCACCATGCCGGGCCAAGATTATCATGGTCTTGTTTGTTTGTTTGTTTTTTGAGATGGAGTCTCGCTCCGTCACCCAGGCTGAAGTGCAGTGGCGCAATCGTGGCTCACTGCAACCTCCACTTCCCTGGATCAAGCACTTCAGCCTCCCGAGTAGCTGGGATTACAGACACTTGCCATCATGCCCAGCTCATTTTTGCATTTATAGTAGAGGCAGGGTTTCACCTTGTTGGTCAGGCTGGTCTTGAACGCCTGACCTCAGATGAGCTGCCTGCCTCTGCCTCCCAAAGTGCTGGGATTATGGGTGCGAGCCACTGCCTGGCCAAGATGCTCATGTTTTCAGTGTTACAGGACACTTGAATGCTGGGCGATGTCACGTGAACAGCGTGTGTTACTAACGATGCTGGTGGCCCTCCCTCCCGCCGTTCCATCTCCACCCTCTGGGCCCCCTTTTGAGCTTCCACCGTTACTTTTTGCACTTACCTGTGAATTGCATTTTGTATTTAAAGACCTCTGTGCACAATACCCTGTTATCTACATGAACAGCCCATCGTTCGGCGCCCCGCAGCCTGGCTGGAGTTCACCTTCTGATTTGGTCTTGTATTTCTAAAACCAGTTTGATTTTCCCTGGGGAACTGGGGCTTGTGTTTTTCTTCCAGTGCCCCGTGCATAGCATGCCTTGACTGGCCTCCACATGATTCTTCATCAGACTGGTTTGGATTTTACAAGGTGTCAGAGTTTTTTAATGAGCTCATGAGGTCTCTTGCACTTGAGTTTACGCCAGAGAAGTTGTGGAGTGATTAACTTAATGGGTGCCGTTTATCCCTACAGATGCCCAGCATTGTTCCTGTTTCAGCTGGATGTTGCTAGATAACAAACAATTCTTTGTAAATCGTGATTGCAGAATCCTGCCGTTTTATGGTTTTTTTTCTTTTGCCGTATAAATGATTGGGCACTCTATTATGGTAAGGCACTGCTACAGAGGACACAGAGCATGAGGAGAGAAGGACTGATTAGGCCTCAGTGGGAACTAGGGGTTCTTTAAAAGAAACAAAATGGACTGGGCGTGGTGGCTTACGCCTGTAATCCCAGCGCTTTGGGAGGCCAAGGCAGGTGGATCACCTGAGGTTGGGAGTTCAAGACCAGCCTGACCAACATGGAGAAACCCCATGTCTACTAAAAATACAAAATTAGCCGGGCGTGGTGGTGCATGTCTATAATCTCAGCTACTCGGGAGGCTGAGGCAGGAAAATCGCTTGAACCTGGGAGGCGGAGGTTGCGGTGGGCTGAGATCCACCATTGCACTCCAGCCTGGGTAACAAGAGCGAAACTCAGTCTCAAAAAAAAAAAAAAAAAAAAGAGAAAACGAAGTAACCCTGGCATACTTGATTATACAATAAATTTCCCCCTGACTGCCCCTTTTTTATGTTTTCGCCTCCAGAGCTGCCCAGAAGTTAAATCTGTCATCTAAAAAGAAGAAACACCGGCCTTCCGCTTCTTCTGCTGCTGAGCCGCCGCTTTTCGCCACCAGCTTCAGCGCGATTCTGCAAACCTCCCCTCCCCCAGCCCCGCCCTGTCTGCTGAGAGCTGTCAACAAGGTGAAGGACACCCCGGGTCTGGGCAAGGTAGGCACCATCCGCCGCCCCTGCCATTTGCCCAGGGTGCCAGGTTCTGGATCGGGTTTCAGAAAGAAGAAAGGAGGGCTCCAGTGTGTTAGAGTAAGAGGGCACCAGGGGGAAAAGGAGGCAAAATGAAACTCATTTGAACGTCCTGTAAAATTGTCATTGGTTGCATATACTGAGTAGTAAACTAAGACGTTCAAACTGTAAGAGGTCTGATTTGCGCATGGCGGGAAAAAACAGCTGTGCCTTGTGTGACGGAGTCGTAGTCATTGAAAGAAAAGACACAAAAGATGGAGGCAGAGGCAGGAGACCGAGGGATGCCATAGCACAAGGTAGAGAAATGAGATGTCATGATGCCGCCTCGTTACCCTGTGACACTTCTGGTTTCTTCCTCGCCGTCAGAGAAATCGTGACTCTGAACTAGACCAGCTCGGGGATTGGTGAGGCGGGCTTGCAGCCATGCCTTTCTGGCCGGGAAGCGCCGTTTCAAATCGTCACAAATACTCAGAAAGAGGTGTAGAATCACGTTTGCGAGACGTTGCTCAGCTGCACTTGGGGAATTTAGTCTTAAGTGTCATTTCTAAATTCTTTCTCCCGTCTGAGCGAAGCGTGTGGGTGAAGTCACGTAGGGTACACCCGTCGTTGCTGAATGAAAAAGCTGGGACTTACACAAACGTTGAGCTAAAGAAAGAGGTGGCGGGTTTTCAGATTTTTATCAAAGTGTGAGTGGTCCTTTGCCGACTTCACGTGACTGCGACCCTGAGCTTCGTTTTGTGAAGTTGCCAGTCTTGCTGAAGGGGAGCACGAACCTGTGCGGACTGGGCTCGGGCTTCTCCAGATCACTGACGGCCAGTCCCCTGGGTGCCGAAACACGGGCACGCCTGGGTCTCTGGTCCTCAGACGGCCTCGCGGTCTCTCTGGAGTCCCCCTTACACCCTCTGCCCCCTCCTCCTCCTTCTTTTCCCCTTCCCCAGTTTCTCACGTGAATCTCACCACCTTGTTGGAAAGGTATTAACTTCATGTGGTTCTTTTCCCCAAGAAGAGTTTAAATTTCAAGATTACACTGACTAGGCTGGACACAGTGGTCACACTTGTCATCCCAGGGCTTTGGGAGGCCACAGCAAGAGGAGCACTTGAGGCCAGGAGTTCGAGACCAGCCTGGGTAACATAGCAAGACCCTGTCTCTACAAAACAATTTAAAAGCCAGCCAGGCACAGCGGCAGATGCCTGTAGTCCCAGCTACTCAGGAGGCTAGGGAGAGGGAAGCACTTGAGGCCAGGGGTTTGAGGCTGCGGTGAGCAATGATCGTGCCACTGCATTCCAGCCTGGGCCACAGAGTGTCTGTTTTTAAGAAAAGAAAAACGTACGTTGAACAGAGCAATGCTGCCTCTGATGGGAAGCGTCCAGTCCTGGAGTTTTCCCTGGTGGCGGGCAGGGCAGGTAGTTTACAGCTGACAGCTTTCCCAGGCCCCGCGGGGAAGTAAGACCAAGGAGTCAGGGCAGGGCCTGGGCTGTCTGCAGGGGCTGCCCTGGCATCACTGGACATGGAGGCAGGTGAAAAACACAGTGTGGACCAGAACTCCTGTCTGAGAGAGGACTCGCTCAGTGGGTGAAACCCCCCAAGGAGGGGCCATGGTACCCGCCAGGGCATCCAGGTGTGATTGTAGATGGTTGATATGCTGTCTTCTAAGGAGGCTGGGTCCAAGTAATTGCTGGGATCTTCTATTCTTTTTGAAATGTTTTATTTGTAATTGTGGTAAGACACAGAGAGCACAAGCCGTACCACCTGAACTGCTTGTGAGTGTACATGGGCTCTTGGTTTGCAAAGCGGAGTTTGGAACTTCAGTGCCGGAGCCGAATGGCCCTGGGACAAAGTGAAATGAAGCTGTCGGTGCGACCACCCCGCCCTGTGCTCTAAGCAACACCTCACTTCTCTTCTGTGTAAGTGTGAGCAAACATTCCAGCGATGGCCCCGTGAAAAGGTGCCAGATTATTAGCAAACCTGGGGTGCTCATGTACCCCAACAAAGCCCTGTCCAGGGTACCTCAAAATGAACCACATCAGGAACCGTCCCCCCACATCTACAGGACTGGCCTTGTCTGTGTTTCCCGAAAGGGTTGACGTGGATGCATGTTCTGGGGCCTGGGCCCCAAGCCCAAGGCTCTGACCTCTCCTCCACTGCCCAGCACCCTCCCTGGAATTCTGAGACAAGGACATCAGGGTGCCAAGGCCAGGGACCACAGCAGCAGAAAAAGCGTCCCAGCCAGCAGGATGACCCAGCACTGACACAAAAACCATTTGGAGGGCAAAGGACACCAGACCGATCTTGATTCCATGGTGTCGTATACAGTGACCACGTACACACGCTCATCGCGACATCAAGAACTTACAGTGAAGAGAGTTATGCTTGTTAGTTTAAGTTTACAAAGCACACTTTTTTTTTTTTTTTTTTTTTAATTAAACGTATCCCTCTCATTCACTTGCAATCCAAAATGCAATCAAAGCCTTGAGTTCATCCGTGGGACTGTGTCCTGGAGCAGGGCCTCGGCCTGGGGTCACAGAAGATAATAGAAGGGGTGGCTTCCATCTGTCCGGTGGCCAATGGTGGCGGCTGAGTCCAGCCTCTTGTCCTGCTCAGGCTTCTGGAGGGTGAGGGACAGTGAGGGGGAGGAAGTGACATTTGGAGAGAATGTGTCCCATGACTGAAGAAGTGACCGAGACCCTGCCTCTTTCTGCACGGAGGGTCCCTGTGCTGCCAGCAGGCTCTGACTGCCCTACCATCTGGGTGCCAAACTGCCGGACCTTAGCGAGGGTCTGTCTTCTCAGACTCCTGCTTCTTCCACCTCCACTGATACCTCACCATTATTCAGAACAGCCGTTCTTTTTAGTCATGTGGAAAAATTTCCATCAATTTATCTCTGTTGCATAATTTATATTTTAATATCTCCAAGAAATACAGTGGAGTTTAATATAGAACATAAATAATTGGCACTATATATAAATCGGCGGGTTTGAGGCAGACAAGTTTGATTGAATCCCCCAAAGCAAGTTGATTGATGATTTAAACCTGACCTGGAGCCTCCTAGACTGCGGGCAGGGGAGCAGAATCACCACCGCTGGAGATGGCCCCGAAGGTGGGAGGCGTCTCCCAGGCCAGCCCCGCCGCTCAGGCCTCAACCACCCGCCGCCTCCCTCTGGAAACCTGGGAGGTCTTCCTCAATGGGAAGGGATTGTACGTGTTCATTTAGAGCAACTTCTTATTTAGCGAATAAGAAAACTGAGGCCCAGTGAGGGTCACGGGTTTTCCAGCGACTCCAGAAGGAGGGCGAGAAGTCAGGGCCTTGAAGCCGTTTCATTCAGGCTGTGGCAGTGGGCTGTCACGAGACAAACATGGCCCTTGACGATTTGGGGTGGAGGCAAGAGTGTCCTGAAACAGAATAGTAGCAGGACGACGTTGGGAAGCAGTTGCCTTTATCCAGAGGGTGAAGACGTACTTTTCCGAGCCAGGATTGGGAGAGGAAGGGGAATAACAGTCAAGAATAGACAGGAAGAGGGAGAGGGGGGGCTCGCCATCCCACCCCTTCCCTCCTTCCCGCTCCCGCTGTTGCCAGCAGCAACCCCATTCCCAGCCACCACCAGGGAGTCATTGCTGGCCACTGAGTGCTTCTTGATGCAAAAGCTTTTCTGGAGGCCGTGGCGATGGGAGAAATAGAGTAACTTCCGCGTGCTTAGAGCTGAAGCATGCACAAGCACGCACACACACACACACACACACACACCCACCTCAGGACCCTCTGCCCCTGCAGCATTTCCTCATACACAGCAAATATTTTTTTCTTTTTCTTTTTTTTTTTTTTTTTTTTTTTTGAGACAGAGTCTCCCCTCTGTCACCCAGGCCGGAGTGCAATCGTGCAATCTCGGCTCCCTGCAACCTCCGAACCTCCCTGGTTCAAGCGATCAGCCTCCTGAGTAGCTGGGATTACAGGCATGCTGCCACCACACCTGGCTAACTTTTGTATTTTTAGTAGAGACAGGGTTTTACTATGTTGGCCAGGCTGGTCTTGAACTCCTGACTTCCAGTGACCCACCTACCTCAGCCTCCCAAAGTGCTGGGATTACAGGCATGAATCACTGTGCCTGGTCCACAGCAAATTATTAAGCACCTACTATGTGTCAGGTAGTATGCTGAGCAGTAGGCTTAGGTTTGCAGTAATGTGCACGGCAGAGTGCCTGTTCTTATGGCATTTATAACTTAGTGCTTGATTCCAGCCAGTCTTACAAATCTCACCCATCTGGGCCAGTACGAAGGACAGTCTGATTTAAGGAAAAGTCAGGATTATAGGCTTAAAATGATTCTGTCTCACTTTCAAGTTACACAGAGAAATGATGCTACTAAGTAGTCTTATAGAAATATTCTTAATAAACAGATAAAGATGATTAGTGGATCAAAGCAGCTTAGTCCCCATTTATATTTCACTGCTTTGGCTTATATGTAAATGCTGCTTCTAATCTGTTTGAAAATGGTTCCTTCTCTTAAGTCAGCAAACGTTCTTCACGAAATTTGTTTGCACAATTAATTAACATCCATGTTTAAGGTTCATTTGTTAGTATGTCACGGCTTCACGTCAGAACTTTTTGTCTTGGATTGCATGTTTCCAGAGCCAAGCATCTTTCTGTTTGAATCGCTACATACATGGCTCTGCAGCCACACCATGGAGCCATCAACGTTTTAAAAAGTGAGAATGGTCATGGTGACAGTCATATTAGATTCATGACAATCAACCTGTAGGTTGGTTGGTTCTCTTCTTCCCAGAATACCTGAAGGGAAATACATGAAGCAGGAAGGGAAAGGGAGCCATCTCTCTCTTCATAATCGCCAGGGAGGCCTCAAAAGAACAGCTGTGATCAGCACCCACCCCTTTTCCCCCCAAACAGATCTGGTTAATACCAGAAAATTCTTATAGGTGAATCCTAGCATCAAGAGTGTTCTCTAGACTCTAGAA